AAAGGGATGTAATGAAACGGGTGACATTTTGAATTCACGCTTGTAGAAAGAACAAGTTTTGAAGTAATTTTAAGAATTCTACATTAATAATTAAAAGGGGAAATTTGACACTTTTTACACGAAAGTGGAGGGATTTAGTAAAAATATATATTAGAATATAAAAAAGGGGTAGGATAAAAAATATATTTGTGGAATTTTTGTTGTTATTGTTGTTGAATTGAGATATGTGTATGCCAAATGTAGGTTTGCAGCATAATACAATGGGCGTACTGAATACAGAAGTAAGTATTGTTATTTCTAAAATAGCAACAAGGAAGGTTCCCTGTACAACGTAAAGATTTCGTCGCCGCAACTCTGTCCAGACGACCTATCGGATTCGCAAATAGACATTCATATCGACGGAACAGCTTCTGTAGAATTGGATAAAGATTGAATAAGAACTGAGTAGAGTTCTTATTCATATAAATGTATAAAAGTAACAGGAGCTGACGACATCTCACTCTGTAATGTAGTAGTTTTAGGTTTCTAAGGACATTATAAATGAAAATAAATAATTACTAATGCTTTTAATACTTACGGAGGTACTTACTTAAGAAGAAGAAGAAGAAGAAGAAGAAGAAGAAGAAGAAGAAGGACGACAAATTCAGTTAAAAATGATTGATGATTCGTGAAAAAAATCGTGTTAGTAGGCTGTATGTATTGTTCCACTTCCAGTCTTATCACAACTTTCAAACGTGAGATTAAATTAAGTGTTAATAAAAAAATAATTAATATTTACAGAAATATTAAAAGCAATATTCAATTACTTTCAATTTATGTTAGACTTGGATAAACGAAAATACTACCATATGTAATTTGTCTGCAACTTCAAAACAAGAAAATGTGAAATTTTGAAAATGAATGGCTCTCTTTCTATTTGTCGGTAAAGTGGATCAGAGCATCAACTGATGTCACTGCTGTGCCTCTGTCCGGGAGGTCCTAAAGAGCGAGTCTCGAATGGCAGGATTTTCGGTTCTAGCTAGACCTAGACAGTTGGGTAGAGTTCAGCCGCTGCAGCGGAGTCTGGAGGAGAACTCTAGCGGCCCGCTGTTCTGATCGGTAGTTTTCCGTGGTTTCTCCGACCTTCACCAGACGAATGCCGGAGCGAACAGGCCACAGACCGCGCGCGCTCTTTCCTTTCTCTTCCTTGGGCCTCAGTCCTCTCACAAATTTACATTTACATTCACTACTCCATCACATTAGTCGGGAGGTCAGTCGGAAGCTCATAGCTTGTACCGGCTGGGCCGGTGCCCCACTGGTGAAGACACCTGGTTGGGAAAAATCCTCGCAAGCCGCCGTAGGCCGGCGGTGAATGTCGCCAGCCAGCGGGGGAAGTTAACCGCTACCTCCCGCGTTGAAATCATGTACCACAGTTACGAGACGAAGAACCTAAGCAGTTGACATGCCTGGAATCACTAATCAATCAATCTTTTACTATATCATTAGAAAAATAATTTAAAAAGTAGAGTTGAATGTCGAAAGTATACATACCGTTTTTGCACTAAAATAAACTTTTAAATATTTTTTATGTAAGTACCAATAATTTCCCAGGAATTTCGTGCTTTTTATCTATCTAACCTTTTCTCGAAGTATTTCAATGTAGGAAATTTGAGATTTTCATACCAATGCCAATATAAACAAACTTAAAAAATATAGTATTCTACCTCTCCTTTTGAAAGGTAAAATAACTTCTCGACTGCACTAATTCTTTATATTGAGGTATCTTTATTGTGCTTAAATGAATTAAGACAACAGATTTGATGCACATAAAGAAATATGATAGAATAAATTTGAAGTGATAAATATGATTAAATTATAGCTTCTCTGTCTAAAGTTTAAATACACATGAATTTGTTTATGGAGTCTTGGGTTTTAACGACGAACCCTTGATTCTGTAAATGCATTACTCCGTCTGGATGGACATCTCATACGTTTCCCAATCGTTTATTGCGACGTGTAATTGCGACCTTTTGAAACTTCATATAGAGAATGTAATGATATAAGCGGTGAGATATCCTTAGTGACTGATAATCATGAGAATTCCATTTTTTCATATATTTTTCTTTCTAATCAAAGCTCACGATATAAGTACATATATTATATCTCTTATTGTATGATGATAATAGTAAAACAATGTTACACACATGTTTTGAATATACATCATGGGAATTTAAGAATTGTAAGAATTATTTTATTCCAGACTGACGAGATATCTTGACTAACATTGTGTTTGTCAATTTTAATTGATTTGAACTTTATTATTTACATGGGACATATTTTACTAGTTAACATATAAAACTTACCATATGCCCTAGGATAATTATATTTTAACTGTAATGATACTATTAATATATACAATTAATTTGATATTTTAGTAGTACTGTTTGAGTAATGGTCTCAAATGACTGATAAGGAAAAGGTTTTATCCACCATTATGGATGAATAAAATAGTCATATTTTTATGAAATGTGATTATAATAGTAACATTACATTTGTGATTGAAGTATTCAGAAATAAGAGAATAGTTACTGTCTATTTCAAGTAGAATGGAATATTGTAACTTTGCACACATTGCTCTAATTATAACATTATAAGTGGTGGGAAAATTTGTAAGTAATGTTTTGTTTTGGATAAACTTCATTTGCCAAGACAATAAATACAGTTTTCAGTCTGAATTTGTATGTTATCTAATTATTTTATGAGGCTTGTATGGAAAATTTAGAAAAAAGTAAGTGGTGAAAAACATTATAAGCAATGTTCTTATTTTAGTAAAGTTGATTTACCATGACAGTAAATATTTTTTAGTTATAACCAGTTAATAATAGCATGTGATAACGCATCTGCCTTAATTTAAAGCAAAAAATATGAAATTTGGTGCAGTAGAAATCTCTCATTTCTTTCTAAACAGGCAGACTTTTAAATATAAAAATGGTCATGTTAATATCATAAAACCGGTCAATAGTAACATGCGATAACACATCTAGGGCTCAATAAATTTTATTTAAACTAAAAATCACGAAAGTTGGTTCAGTACAAATCTCAAATATTGTTCTAACACTCTTAAAACTTTAAACTAAAACATTTAACGTCAAAAAAATTCAAAATGATGGAATGTGAGAAGAGGAGCAATGATCTAATATTTAATTAGGTTAGTTTGGTAACAGTAACTTACTGAAGATAGTGAGTTGATATCGAAACCATTGCTGACATGTATCAACAGTATGAAACATACCAACTCTACGTTGTTTTTCAACCTAAAACGTACTGCCGCACGACCACGATGCGCATTGCGATATTCAAGTTTGAAAAACAAGCGCTAGTTATGAAAATGGAATAAAATATTTTCACACAAATTTTATAGAAAATGAGTAAACTACTTGGTTCAAAAACTCTTTAGCGTATAATTCCACATACTTCATGTTTGTTTATTTTTCTAATTAAAAAAGCGAGGGGAAATTATTCTGAAGTAATAGGTGTCAGATTCGAAGTAATACCGTTATACTTCACCGTAAGCGTCGTCCAGCGTAAGACGAGCCGCCAGGGGTGGCCAGCGCCGGTGGCGCCCACGCGCGGCGAAGCGAGGCCGAGCCAAGCGGTGTCCCCGCGCGCTCTCTGCGGCTGCAAATGACTCCTCGCGTGCGATGACGAGGCGCCGCCGTGGGCGGGGGCGGGGGCGGAGGCGGAGGCGGGGAGTGGACTGCAGCGCCGCTCCACGGCGGAATCGCAAACCACCAACGTAGCGGCGGCGCCCAGCGCATTTGACCGTCACTCGTATTTGTAGTAGACGACGAGAGGATGCAGTGTGCACTTCGAAGTATTCCAATGAAATCCTTGCCCTTTATACTCAATAACAAAGGAAAAAAATCCGAAATATCGCACAAAGCTATGCGTTCAAGCGATATTTTACGATCTCGTAGGTATTTATTTTGTTCAGAAGAGATTAATGAATGTGTCACCAATTCACAATTTTGCCACTAAACAATCAATGAAATCTTTGTCAGACTACACTAAATTTGATCTGTAAAATCTCACCCACTGTTTGAATGAAATGGTTTCGATGAATTTTTCTTCTATTGTTTCTTCCCAAATATATTTAATAAATGAAATCAGTGGACAGTCAGAGCACTTACCGAAAAATCAACATATTTGAGGTGGATTGAAACAATTGCACGTCAGTATGTTTTTGTTGGTAACTTGAGAGCATCAAGCATAAGTTTTACGTTCTGAGGAATAACTCTAATACTAACAGTGTGTATTCCACTTGCACTCGCCAAAAGATGCAACCTTTTAAACTCAATTTTCTGATTAAGATGTGATGATTTAAAATTATATATATTTGCAAGAACGAGCTACGTCGTTGTGCTTACGCGGGCGCCAGCAATTCTTATTGAAAACAGACGTTATTTTCAAACCCAAATACTTTGCAAATTACCAATTCAATGTTAATTGTTTTTGATCCCTCGCGTGGAGTAAACACCGATTAAATAGAATCTAATCAAAGAAAGTGACTCAAATAAGTGTGTTGGCATTCTTTTAAATAAATTTCATACTTTGTGTTTTCTCAGTTTTGAATGGTTCTTTTGAGAGCAGATTATGTACTATTTGTTTTCTTTCTGAACTAGATATTGAGTATCCCAACAGAATTGATGAATGTTAATTTTTTTCTGAGTTAATTACGTTTCCTAAAAAAACTATGATGTTTTGCTATCGATTTTAATAACTTACGTTTTAGAGCCGCTCTCTAATCTTATGTTTTATTAATTGGAGACATTTTTTAGATTAGAGAAGTAATCAATCGATTGGGTTTATCTGAAAACAATATTTGCTTTAGTATCAAACTTATGAAAGCATCAGTAGCCCTTGAATGGAGAGAGTGGTAATGAAGTCACTCGTCTTCATTTGGCGAAAAGCCATGCTGAGAAAAGTACGTAACAGCTTTTGAAATAGATAATCACAAGTAGTGCTGAAAAATAGAGTGTAATAACAGTACATATTTACAGATTGTTACATATTTCCAAGTTCACATAAAGATAGAATTTATATGAAAAATATCACTCAAGTATCAGACCATTGGCACTTTCAACTTCAGTAAATTGTTCAGAAGTATTATACAGACCCTAGTGGTAAAATAATTAGTGATATTTAAAGTACTAAAAGTAAAAATACACAAATGTGAATAAAGAATGTGTTATGCACATTGAGGAAGCAGCATTTCTCTGTATACATATTTGTATTATCAGAATAAATAATTTCCATTTCTATTTTCACTTTTTGAAAAGGTTGAATGATTTTTGCATTTTATTGATGGGTTCTATTTGCTGGTGCTATTACCAATTTCTTTTTAAACAACATTACGTTTACATTGTTACCTATTGAGAATTCATTCAAATTTATGAATTTTCAAACGGGAATAACAAAAAATTCACAATTGATTATCTCGTTAATTGCATATTTTTCTAATATTTTTTTCAAGACAAACGATTCAAATAGTCATAAAATATTGTTAAACATTTTATAGTGATTTGAAGCCTAAGCCAGTTTCTACAGGCTGTGTTGCTCCAGTAAAATTCAAATCTGAGAAGACTGACGCAATTGTTTATTTCGTGCTAAAAATAAGCTTTAAGAATGTTATGAGAAAGTTGAATTAATTGTGAATTTTTTCTTCTTTTTCCAACATATTAAGAAAATGTATTAAAAGATAGTTCATCTTACTGCTTATTGATAAATCATTTCACAAACGAAACCTTGACTTTTTATGTTGACAAGTGATAATTAACTTATAAGAGTATGAATAATGTAAAATGTTTATCATCGAAGGTGTCTTACTTATTCAGTAATAGATTTGACGTCTGTAGTGGAATATTGCTACTTCCTTTCTTCAGAAAACGAAATAGAAGTAACTTCGTAATTAGCGAATTATTTTTTTCTCACTATCGGAAGAACAATGCGAGAATTCTCCAAGTCTTGAATGGGTTGGCTTGCCTGGTTATGAAATACACTTTGCACACGGGAATATTCCTGTTAAAATACACATACATTTATTATTAAAAACATGATGTATAAAACGAAAATATATAAAAAAGGACATGCTAATGGTTAGTTTCATAAAAATACTCTGCACACTCGGTCTAGAAATCAGTATATATATGATGAGATATGTTGTCCACTTGGATCTCCTGATCAAAACTGTCAATGGGCACAACACTTATAATGCCAATATGGAGGCGGAAGAGCTTTAAAAATGATTTCCTACCAGTGTAATAGAGATTTTATTGTGTTTTGTCGCTGTAACTGTCACACAATTCACAATAATGTGCTCGTAACACCATACTCGACATAGAATTGTGTAAAAGCAGTCATCAATTTGGATTTGCTGTGATTAATTGCGGATAAAAACGATTAAAGACATCCACTATTGTTTATTTTAGTACAGTAATGATTGAGTGCCAGGCGGTTTAGCTAATTGGTCAGCGTGCTCGCATTCCTTGACACGACCCCAGGTTTGATTTCCGGTCAGACGAGTTTATAGTGTGCGCTTTCCTTTGAAATGTCCCAGTATATGTTGCTGTGTGACGATGAGAAAATTCCCTTCTTATATTGAGAAAACTAGAATACCGTGAGGGGATGTCTTTCTGCCAACTACATGTAACCCTTAATCCTGTGGCCGCGAGCCAGGGACGTCGCTGGTAGGCAACGGCCCGTGCAGGGGCCGACGCGACAAGTACAAACAAAAGCTAGTGGTGCTAAACAGCACATACTTTCTCGCCTTTAGTAATGGTTGTGTAATACTATTTACAACACAATTTCTCTCCAAATTAACACATCTCGAGCATCATTTTTGTAAAAATTATCTGAAATTATTTTAACCTTTAAATAAAATATTTCTCTGGCATTGAATTCGTTGCAGAAGGTAGGCATTGTATTCACAAACTAACAGAAGATTTTAGTCTTATTCTGCGCCATCGATTTTGAATAAATTTTGTTGTTGGATAGTCTAAAGGACGTTAAAGATAATAGCGTAGGTCTTATATTCATTAAAAATTCTGATTCTTCAAAATTGATTTTTTTCTGTGTCATTCTACAATAAAAATATTAAAGATAAAGATTTTTTACGTAATGAAATGTTTCCTAAAGATAGATTTTGAAATAAAGTCATGTTCAATTTTTCACAAATTGTAGTATTTTTTACGTAATGTTGCGTGAAGTATAGGCAATTTTTAATTTTTGTTTAAACAGTTTTTTTGCGTCATCTTTGATGAAATTTTGTTAGTGAATAGTCTGAAGGACGTTTACGAAAATGGTGTAAGTGTCACGTATTGGAAAACTCTAGTTTTTCGACAATTGAAAAATTTCCAATTTTTTTTTTTTTGAGTTCTCCTACAACTACAATTATGAAGATACATTTTTTGAATGTTGAATTTTTTTTAAGGAAATGTGTTTATTGAAAAAAAGATTTTCAAATACGGTCACGTTCAAAGTTCCAAAACTATAAATATTTTTGGAGTAATTGAGCGTCAAGGTTAGTCGCTCGCTCTGAAAAGACCTGCGCTTCCTGATCGTAATATTAGGTAATTTGAGGCAGATAGATGCTACGTATGTCAGAATGTGTAGAATATTTCATATCGCATGTTTGTTCGTTTCGTACATTGGAGCTTGTGTTACACGTTTACAAATTAATATTTTAGAAATGATTTTATTTCATATTAATTTAAATAGATTTTAAGATTGCTAGGTCGCTCCTAATTTACGCAGTTGGGTCCTACGTAAGTTACAATTTGTATATTATTTCAATGGAATTATTTCAAATGAAAACATGTCTGTATTTGTTAAATATTGCAATACCATAGTGTTTAATAATTACTATTATACAATTTTTGGATGAGTTTGTTTTCCATCGCTATCGTATCGTATTAACTTTTAAATATTTTACTTTCTTACATTCTGCTTATTTTTCGCACCAAATGTTCTACGAATTCAAATGAGTTTTACAAAAAGTAATGTCGAGAGAAATTGTGATAAAAATTGTGTTACGTAACCGTTGTGAAGTGATCTCGTGGCTCAGAGTGAAAGTCGCTCGCCTTTCAGCAAGGAGGTCAGGGTTCGAGTCTAGGACATTCTCGTGAAATTTGTTCGGACAAATAGAATGTAGCTGCTTCACTAAGGCTAGTCCAACCCCTGTGAAACACAAACCCTATCCTATTCCTTTCCACTTCGGGTCGCTTGGTAGTGATGCAGGAGCGCTTACTAGGCGGCGCGAAATGCTACCTGACGGTCCTCCTGACAATTGACGGCGACAAGACTTGTCATATGACATACTGTAAATGGAGGATTTCTCCTGAAAACGCACTGATTAATGGAGGATTGCGCAAAGAACTCAGAGCCCCCGAAGGGTTTGGAAAAATGTTACGTCTATCTAGACCCAACAAATTTGAAAAAATGGCAAGAAAGTACATGCTATTTTAGCTCAACGAGTAACTTTCTCGCTACCGCGGTACACAGAACGTTATGTAATGATGTGCGAAATTACAGCGAATTTTCGGCAGAAAAACGCTAAATACAGGTGCCTGGAAACAAAAAAGTGGATAAATCCAGGTTCTAAATTTTAAAAAAATCTCTAATATGTCGTGTTGCCAGAATCCATGTTATGTGGGTCCTTGATACTGAAAAATAGAATGAAGGCATCTGTCCGTCTGTGAACAACACTAGCGGCTTTACCGTTCAGCGGATATCCTTCAATATTGATATTCTGCAATCAACCTGGCTGATGTCAAGTCCCTTGAATTTGAAACCGATATATTAATTTGCGGGTGAACTTTACATGAAGCCCGTGGAAAATTATCAAAAGTTTCGAAAAGACGGGTGCATTGTTTTTAATTACGTTGTTGTATGAAAGGATTGCATTGTTGTATAGTATAAGGATCGTTAAAGAGAATTGTGTAGGTCTCATATGCATAGAAAACACTAATTTTTCGAAAATCGATAAAAAAATTTGGGGACTTACTACAACTAAATCATTAAAAATAGAGATTCGTTCAATAAATGAAATTTGTTTCTTAATAATAGGTTTTCAAGTAAGGTTATGTACAATTTTTCGTAAATATTAGAATATTGTACGCGACATTGTGTGAAGACAATTTTTAATTTTGTTTAAACAATTTGTTTTCTCTAAAACGGCTCCACGATTTGGATAAAATTTGTTTCTTAGTCTGAAGGATTATAAGAAAATAGTGCAGTTTTAATGTTAGTTAAAATCCTAATCTTTCAAAATTGAAACTTTGTTCGGCGTTTTCCTACAACTACATTAATATACATTTTTTTCCATTGAAATATTTTTGAAATTTGAATGTTAAATATTTTTGTGTAATTTGGTGAAAAAAATAATCGCCCGTTTCGAATTTACTGCGATTTTTGAACTTAATTCCAGAAACTTGGATACTTTGTAAGGTAGAATTTGTATATTCATATTTCTTTGTTCACTTCTTACATTCGACCTTTAGGTAAAAGAAAATCACATTAATCTTTTAGAAATAACTTAAAACCTCTTTTAAACACATGAAATAAATATTGCTCGCGTTCAGGAATATCAGTTATGTAATGTTATGTCTTAATTTCTGCATTTCGTATGCTGCAAATATCACTCTATTAGGTAAATAAAGGAAATGTGAAAAATATGTTTTTTATTCAAACTTTAAATGAAAATATATTTCTGACATTGAATTCATTGCATAAGGTATTTAGTGAACTCATGAACACATCCGATGCGAATTTTGGTTTTAAATATTCTGGAGTAATCACTGAGCGAGAAAATAAAATAATGAAAATTTAATAAGTAATTTGATTCAGCGGCTGCAGAGGGAGCGGCAGGGCGGCTGCTGCCTTCCCTACAACGCGGTTTTGCCAGTTTTTTCGGGATCTACATTTTACAACGCAGTAACACTGATAGCTTTTGCAAGCTAATCCAAATAGTTCGAAAAATATATAATAGTAATTATTACGTACCATAGTAGTGTTATATTCTCCAAATCTGCTTCTTTTCACTCCAATTTCACACGAAAACGGCAGGTTTTTAGAGGGGCTTCACGACAATCGACACAGTCTTTGTGTTAAATACACTAGTAAAAGAGGCGCTTTCACGTAAACGGGGCCATTTATACTAGTGTTGAGGATTTCTAAAAGGCTTTTGACTCAATAGGGAAGTTTTATGCCAAAAACTAAATGATGTAGGCGTCTCACGTCAAGTTTTAAAAGTGTTGCAGAGAAGTAAATGTCTGCGTCAGGTGCGGCGACGGAAGTACAACGCGAAAAATAAAATAGAGAGTAGGAGTACGACAGGGCTGTGCTCTATCACCGCTATTGTTTGTCTTGTCTATAAACGATTTAATGTCTTGGGTACAGGAAGAGGGGACAGATGCGCCGAAAATTGATAGCGTGAATATTCTGTATATGAATTACTATGTTCGGAATCTATTGACGGTTTACAGAAGAGTTTAAACATCCTGTATAGTGAGATCTTTTATTTTCAAAAAATGAAAATGGTACTCTTTAATAATAACTTTATTTGGAGTAAAAAAGGGAATTGGTATTATGAGCAGGATGAGATCGAGCGGGTTAAAACTTTTACATATCTTGGTGCAAAATTTTCTATGAATGGAGTATGGAATAGTCACATAGTGGCCTCGCAAAGTAAAGGGAGAAATGTATTCAAAGAAATCGTTTGCAGAGTGCGCAGGGTACCGGAATTGCCTTTAAAGGTGTGCGATACAATGTTTAAATCTCTAGGTCTCCTATCTATGAATTTTGGGGAGGAAACCTGGGGAATAGATAGGATAGATCGACTGGAAAGCATAGAAAAAGATTACTACAAACTAATTCTGGCAATATCTGGATTTCCAGGAAATGCCGGTGTGTTAAGAGAGGTTAGTAGTGTAGGAATTAGAAAGATTTTAAAATGAAACTCGTTAAACTTTGGATTGAACTAGAAGATGAACGGACTAACAAGTTTATACATAGGAGCTTTAGAGCGCAGTTACAGGGAAGCGTCCAACGTTACTGGTCGTACAAAATTAAACTTTTACCTGAACGCGTAGGTCTCGGAGAAGTTTCATCGGAGTCGGTGGGGGATAGGGGATCACGTGAGATAGAACGGGTAATCTCTGGTAAACTTGCGGGTATTCAAAGGCAATATATCCTGGCAGGAACGGTCAAAACACGATTGCTATTCGTAGTGGCACAAACTCACAAGAGTCTGGTACGGGGTTGCAAAAGTTACGTTCACTCACGTTGAAGGAACGCCAGAAGGGGATGCGCTTGGTTCAGGGTCGGGCGTTGGATGCAACGAAGTTTGAAGACGCAAATGGTAATGGTATCTATGTGATTTGCGATAATAGGGAAGATTGGGTTCACTTTTGCAACACGTTGCCAGATAATATTAAAAAATAAATTTGATACAAAAGTTTAAGTCCCAAGTAAAATATTTTCTTTTGCACAGCTTATTTTATAGAATTGGACACTATACCGAGCATCCAAAAGGAAAGAAATATTAATTATAACAACATCAAGTGTATTGTTTACCAGTTTGACTGAATAATTCTAAAAAATCTGTAACAAGTATTGTACTTTAGCTTCTAGGTCAATGACCCCCATCTCGATCATTTTTTCGTTCATTTTCCCTGATCCTTGAGCAAATGCTCAGATGGATCCTTGTTTTGCTTCTGACATAAATGTAACTTCACTGCAACTTCAAAGATGTTACACACAGTTTTAACTGTTTGTGACGTAAATAAATAAATAAATAAATAAATAAATAAATAAATAAATAAATAAATAAATAAATAAATAAATAATAAATAAATAACATAAATAATAAATAAATAATAAATAAATAAATAAATAAATAAATAAATAAATAAATGAAATAAATAAATAAATAAATAGAAATAAATAAATAAATAAATAAACAATAAATAAATAAATAAATAAATAAATAAATAAATAAATAAATAAATAAATAAATAAATAAATAAATAAATAAATAAATAAATGTGAACATAACGCAAGCATAAGTGATGTTCGGTGAAGATGTAAACTTTCTCTCCTTAGACAAAATAAAAATGATGAAAATAAGAATAAAATGAAAAGTTCAAACAAACGGACGAAACGATTGGAAATAACACACATACAATGGTATGGACATATGAAGATGATTGAAATCAGACACTACGACTTCCGCAAATAGTTTAAAATGAATATCAAATCGAAGAAGTTACAGAGGAAGACTAAAAAGAATATGTGTAACAATGCAATAACTGAAGCAAGCGGAAGAATAAATGGAGGAAAACGATCTATGAGATAAAGAGGCATGGGAAATTGGGAAGCCAAGGCTGGTAAAATAACGATTAATAGATAGATATCTTTAAGGAACAGATTTCATTTAACAAAATATCTATTCTATATTATAGTTATAGGAAAACGCTGAAAATGTCAATATTGAGGGTTTGAAAATAGAGAATTTTAACGAAAATGTTGACCTGCACCCCTTCTCTTAGATAATCCTTCGCACTATTCGAAACAAATTTAATCAAAAAATTTGGGAGACATTTTATTGGAAAAGATTTTGTAAAGGCGAGAGGCTTCATATAAAGTTCCCTCCAAAAATTAAAACATCTGCTTTCAAATTCCAGCAGCCGCGACATCGGCCAGAACGATGTGAGAATATCAGTTTTGAAGAAAATTCACTGACCATTTATGCGCTAGCATTCTGCACAGATGGAACAACACGGACATACAGGCATTTTGGCATCAATCGAATTTTCGGTATGCAACAACACACGAATCAATGATTGTGTCTACCCACGTGTTGGGGGAATTTTTTTCTCTTATATTTAGCGACTAGTCTATCCACTTTTTCGTTACCAGGGCCTGGCATCAAGAGTTTGTGTATCAAACAAAATTCGCTGTTTTTCGCACACCTTGTAATTTGCGCTAGTTTTATTTCTCAGATGAGTAAAATGCAATGAAGTTTGCGACCTTGGTGTGTGACTGACTCATTATTGTTTTCAGAAGGACCAGTGTAC